GGGACACAGAGTAGGAAAAGGGGCTGACCCTCTTCAATCCCACCTGATGGACCCTCCTCCCCTGCCTTTGGCACTTGAGGTTGAAGCAGCCCCAGACCTTTGGACAAGCAGAATTACCCTTTGTTTTCTGAGGGCTGCAAAGCAACAATGAGCCCCTACCTGTGAAGTGGGGATCCAGAGAGGAATGGCTGATGCTGGTTTTGGTGGTGTATTCAGTGGGGAATTTGTAAACTTCTCTCATGTACTGCTGTCCTCCAAACTGGGAGAAAGCACCTGGGGAGAAGGAAAAGGGACAAGTCAGTCAAGAAATAACAAAGAGCTTCCAGCTCCTCAACACTGCACAGTGAGCACCAGCAAGCTCAGAATTTTCCCTTGCTGATATCAGAGCCAGGTTCAGGAGGAACTGGGAGGACTGGGAAGGTCTCACATCTGGACAGTAAGGAGCTGCCTCCAGGTATTTGTACAAACAGGCAGAAGTTTCACCATAAAAGTTAAACAGTGGCAGGTGTTCCCTCATTTAATGCACCAGAACTGGGACAGTGCTCACCAGGCACAGCGCTGCCTTCATGGAAAACACTCTCCGTGTCTTTCTTGGAGCATGGAGTCACCACCAGAGCTGGAAAGTGACTGCAGGAGTTGTGTTCCCTGCTCTGAGAGGTTTCTCTTTGCACCTCCACAAAGATGTGGTACTGTACCTCTGTCCTGAGATTCAATGGTGATGAGACCTTCTCTCTCTGGCCCAAAGCCTTGGGTGGTGTTGGCTTGCACTTTGAACTTGTACGGGACATTCTCACTCAGGTGGGGCACAGTCAGGGTGGTTTCCAGGTTGTCTCCTTCCACATAGATTGTCCTGGGCTCCCCTAATCCACAGAGACACGGAGTGGTCAAGACTGACCTGAGTGATGGTCCCTCCAAACACACTCTCCCCCAGATCTGCTGCCTCGGGTTTCCCTGAGCTTTATACAACCCACGGGCTGTAGGATTGCACACACTTCTACTAAGGATTAAAACAGCCCCATTTCACTGTAGTGGGGGTGCCTCAATGACCAACCTCCACGGTGTTTTGGCTGCAATAATCAACAGCTCCTTCCTCTTCCCACCACATTTGTTAGACCAGAGGATGCAATGGCACAAGTGTCAGGAGCCACCAGCTCCCAGGCCTGGGACCAGCCCCATGTCCCCACTTTGTCTGCACTGATGTAAGCAAACAACTCTTTTACTGGTCCCAGCCAAAATGCAGCAGATTGCTGCTGCCTCAGCTGGAGGCATCTTGTGCTCTGTACAAGGGACCTGTGCCCAGCCCCATCCTGCCCCTCCTGGGCCCCATCCTCTACCTCCTCCATGCAGCATCTCACAGGTGATCCTGTAGCCCAGGATGGGCCCATTTGGCTCGCGGGGTCTCTCCCAGCTGAGGTGCAGAGAATCTGGGCTGAGGGCAGTGAAAACCAGTGGTCCAGGGGCACAGGGGGTGCTCAGGGTGAAGGGGGTACCTGCAAGGGCACAGGGGACATGTGAGAATCACAGCGAAGGGAGCCTGGGAGGGATCTGCAGAGAGCATTTATGGAATGAGCTGGAAGGGCTCAGCTCCCTGGACAATGAGTGTGAAGTGAATGTGTGGGGAAGAAGGTCGTGTTCCAAAATGAGGGGAAGGAAAAGAGAGCTGAGGATGTGGCAAGGGGAGAGAAAACAGCTGCCAGCACCATCGACAGCAACACAGACTCCAGTGCCACCCTTCTGTCCCCAGCCACCTCACCTGGCACGGGGCTGAGCGGGCTCTGCGGGTCCACCTGGGACTCGATGGTGATGACTCCCTCCCTCTCAGGGCCCCAGCCCTCCTCGCTTTGCGCCTTCACCTTGAAGATGTAGGAGTGGTTGGGCAGCAGGTCCTCCACCACCACTGAGTTCTGGCTGGGGTTGGGGATGGTGATCCTGTGCACCTCTCCTGGGACACACAGGGAAGAGCACGTCACCACCACGTTACAGGCACAAAGACAAAGCCACGACTTTCACCTGAACTCTGTCTCAAACTGCCTGCAAAAACCATCCAGGGTCCCTTCCCAACCACCTGCATCACACCTTGCCAACAATAATGGGTAGTGCAGGACGAGATGTCTTTCCAAAAAAGGCTTGGGACAAACAACAGCTCCTTGAAAACTCAAGGGGCTTCAGACAAAAGAATAATATAATCTCAGGGCAGTATTAGTGATAAATGTAAAAAGATATTTTCATTTCAATCCTTCTTCCAAGTCCCATGTGTTGAAAAAAGATTCATGTAAGATGTTTGGGCTGAAGGAGAGCATCAGTCAAAATGAGGGTTTTTTTGGAGGAGAGATGATTATACAAACAACTCCAGAAATAGCTCTCCCTCGAGGAGAAACAGGGAATGAAAACTGTGGAGTAGCTGCAACATTTCCTGCACAAAAAAAAGGCTACACAAGAAGCAGATTTAGGACCCTGAAACCCAGAATGGTTGAGGCTGGAAGGCACCTCTGGAGAACATCTGGTGCAATTCCCCTTGCTCAGAGCAGGGCCATCCAGAGCCAGAAGACCCAGAGCAGACTCTCCAGCACCTGAACCTCCCACCAACCCCTGTGCCTGCTCACTGACCTCCGTTGAGGAGCTGGTACTGCACGCTGTAGCCCTGCACCTCCTTCTCGCAGCGCGGCTCCTGCCAGCTCACCTTCAGGGACGTGGGGCCCAGGGCAGAGAACACCAGGCGGGTGGGGGTGTCAGGGATGCCCAGAGCCTTCCTGGGGTCTGAGGCAGAAAGGGAACATCAGGCTGGAGATTTTGGGGATGGGGGCTAAGGGGGCTGAGGGAGAGGAGGGGGTGGCACACGCAGACATGGGATGGTCCTGATGGTTCAGGGAGGATGTGGTGAGATGTCATCTCTGCAAGCTGAGCTGTCATGAGGGGAACTGGCTGGCTCTGCACAGCTACAGGGATGTCCCACGGCCTCAGGGTGCCAAGCTTGGGTGGGACAAGTTAATGTAAGCTTCATGCCCCTGTGGCAGAGAGCCCAGAGAAGGGGCCTGGTGCTGGCTGTGACCTTCCTCACCCCTAAGAACCCTGTCCAGTCTGCCAGAAGCTTCTTAGACTTCATCAGGTGTAGGTCAATTAAGACTGGCCCTAATCTATAGCTAAATCAGCCCTCCAGGCCCTGTTTGTGTGGCCTGAGATCACATCTGGGTGCTCCTCAGCTCATCCCACTGGGACACAAAGCTCAGGAGAGCACAACACCTCCCAGGTGACACTCAGGGATTGAGGCCACTCATTGACAAGGAGCTTGCAGAGAGACATCTCATAAGAAGCACACATTCTCCCCCAGAGTTCTCCAAAGGCCTGTGAACTAAGACTGAGAATGAGAAGCTCATTAGGAATGAAAAGAACGGGGACAATGGGTTGATCAGAGCACGGTGGCAGCAGTGGTGGTGAATGTTGATCAGTCCAGATGGGCTGAAACCTGCAATTCACCTGCAAATGGAAAGGTGATGTGATGGAGGTGCAGGCTGGGTCAGAAGGAAGATCAGCACGGCACGCAGCAAGCCATGGAGAGGAGGTTTGGGGTGAGCAGTGGATGGCAGCAGCTCATGGATGGGCGGTGGCTGGGCTGTTATGGGATGTGTGGCTGGGAGGAAACACTGGACAAGCTGTACCTATGAACTTGCACATCCCTGCGGCCCCATCAGTCATGATTATAGAGTCCCGACAGCCAATGCTGGGGTAGTAACCCTTCACCTTTGCCCTGCTCCTGAAACCCACGTCCCAGGGCTGGAGGAGTGTCCTCCCAGCATCTTCATGGATGGGAGGGAGGAGTGTCCCCGGGTAATCTACAGGAGTGGTGCAAGAAGAAAGAGAAAAACACCATTGGATATTTCAAAGCAGGTTCAGCCCAGGTGCCTGCACAGGTGACTTTTTAAGGCTCAGGTTTGAAGAATCTTTAAACCACCTTCTGTCAGCACCAGCTGATTGACACACATGGAGCTGAAAGGCAACCACACTTCTGGATAGAGTGAGGAGAAGAGACGTGCTCCCCCTGAAGTGCTTCGTAGTGAGAGGATAAGGATGGAGCTCCCTTCCCTGAGCACCCTGCCTGTGAGGGGTGGGAACCCTTTCCAAACTGGTCTGGAAGCAGAGAAGCCTTAGCAAACCACCAAGACATCAGTGTTGGGGACGTGACTCTCTAGACCTGCGGTTCATAGGCCCCCTTAGCTGTGAGCACAGTCCTCACTCCAGGAGAACTTCAGGGTGCAGGTCCAAAGGCAGTCATGGGGATGGAAGGGAAGGTCCCATGGCTGCGGTACTCACCGTGCCCCATCAGCACCGTGGAGTAGTCTCTTGTCAGCGAGGAGCTGCCCATCACCCTGTGCTCCTGGTGCACGTGGGAGCTCAGCTGGTGGTAGCTGCTGTTGGCTGTCCTGGTCAGGGTGCCACTGCCACTGCCAGGGAAGGAGAAGTCCACCCGGCCATTCAGCAAGTGCTCTGTGGAAGAGGGCACACCGTGAGCAATGTGGCTGTGGACAAAGTTGCTGCTCCTCTTCCCGTGGGGAGGAAGCAGGAGGCATCGTGGTGCCCCCCCTGCCTTGGCTGAATCCCAGGTTCAGCCGCTCTGGAAGGTGATTCTGGAATGTTACATCTAGAACAAGCCACAACACCCAGCATGAGACACAAAGATGTAAACAAAAACTTCTCCCTGCACCAGACACACCCATGGTGCCCAAGGTAACTCCAGACCTCGGCCTTGCTGGGGCACTGCCACGTGGTTCTCGCCACATTCTCTCGCATCTCCCCTTAGACGCAAGCACTGGTTTAGAATTTTGGATTATAAAAGAAGGTGGAAGAAGGAAAATGTCCCTCTATGGAGGAGGTTTCTCCAGATCTCATTCTGGATCCCATCTCAGCTGGATCTGAAAAGCAAATTCCGCTCCATTGTTCTGGTCCTTGACAAAAAAATTCCCATCCCCTCCCAGCAGGCCAGGAGAGATCAGCCATCTATGAATGAGTGATTTCTGTTTAACAGTCCATCAGATCTGCCCCAGAAGCTCAGGGCACTTAATTAAGGTGAAGAGCTGCCTCTGGAGGTGGCACTTAGCAGGTATCATCTGAGTTTGCTCCTGCCTCGAAGGTCCAGCCTTTGGTAGAAGCAACTTGCTAGCAGGCTCCCAAGTCCGTGCCGAGATGGGGGTTACCTTGACACTTGTGTGAGCAGACACACCAGGACAAGGTTTTGAAGCAGATCACACCAACAGGAGGGTGGGCACACAAGGGGAGGCAGGGGACACAGAGCCCATCCGCCGGCCCCTCGGCTCAAAGCAGGACGAGACAGGACACTCAGTGCTGTAACAGAGCCGTCCTTCACCTGCTTGGGGCCGGGGCGTCCCGCTCCTCCTCACACTGCCAGGAGCCACAGCGCTGTCCTCCTCCTGGAGGAGCCCCTCAGTGTCCGAGGAGAGGCGGCTGCTGCCAGAGAGGCGGGGAATGGTTTCAGGTGGGAGCCTCCAGGTGATGCGGCGAAGGTCCAGGTCTTCTCCCAGCAACGGCACAAATTTCCACCTGGAGCCTTTTGGGACAAGGCAAGCACTGGTGTTGGCACGGTCTGCAGGGGTCAGGGTGGGCCACCCACCACCTCCGTGCTGCTTGCTGGGGAGAGGAAGGGACAAGCACCAGTGGGGACGATGCCTGTTCACAGCCCGTGTTCCAAGAGTGAGCTCAGGAGCTCAGGTGGTGCAACCATCGGGTCGGTGGAGGAGAATGGTGGGAGCGTGGCACGCAGGGGGTTCCTCAACCCCCAGACTGTTTTCTAGCCCTGTGTCCATCATGACAAAAGGTGAGAGTCAAAGCCCCACCACACGCCTGTCCCTGCGTGAAGACTCTGCAACAATTGTCCTCTGCTCAGGAGAGGTTTCATCGCTCCTTGATGTGCACTCGGGGCAGTTGGACTCCTGGCGTTCCCATCACCTTGCTCTCTGAAAAGACCAGGGACTCACTCTTGGGTCCCAGGCCCTGGAGAACGCTCCAGAGAAGATCCTACAGACACACCTCATCATTTCACTTATGGCTCATGTCCCAGCACAAGAGCAGGGAGTCAGCCTCATTCAGAAAAGTGAAGGGATGGAAGAAGAGAGGCCAGTGCCTTCCCAGCACTGCTGAGTTCCCTCCTGTTGGCCTGGCCTAGACCCTGAGCATCCAAGGGACTCAGAGGTCTGTGCCATTGTCAGTGCTTGTTTGCTGATGTTAGCTCTCATGGTCCAGCCAAATGACAACAAAAAGGGAAGATGAGGAGGGAGGGCCATGAAAAGCTCCTCTCCCACTCCACACTGAGATTTCTCTTTGCCCCATGGCTACAACAAGGAGGCACTGGCCTTATTTACAATGTGACCAGCCAAGTTCCCCAAGTGTTCCCATGGATGCAGCTACTGAGCTTTGGAAAGGCAGATCTCCACCATCTCCACAACTTGGAACTCCCCATCCTTGAGAGATGGAAAGGAGCAGTGAAGCTCATTGCTGAAAGCTGCTGTTAAAGAAAATGAATGTTAGAAATGACCTTTTCAAATTCAGAGACACAAACCTGAATCATCAGAGACACTGGGCCTCTTGCTGCCAGCTGGAGAGCGGAGCACATCTGTGCTGTACATCAGGTAGCTGTCATAGTCCTCACCTCCCTCTGCATCAATGATGGGGACATCAGGGATAATGGGGACTGCAGGAGAGGTGGAAAGGGCCATTAGACAAGCAGCAAAAAACTGCACAATGCTCAGGCTGGCCCTCAGCAATGCCAGGAAGGCTGGAGAAGCAGAACAAACAGGAGGTGGGGGGAAGCAGCTGGGCTGATGGGGAGCTCTCCCCAGCACTGCTCCTGTCCCTCTGCCCCCTGCCCAGGCTGGCACTCACTGGACATGGGGCGCTTGGGCTGCGTGGCGAGGTTGATGGTGGCTTCTCTCTCGGGCCCCCAGCCCGCGCCGTTCCTGGCCTTCACCATGTAGCGATAGGGCTGCGACTCCCGCAGGTTCTCAATCAGCACCATGCGCTTCCTGGGCTCTTCAATCAGCACCTTCTTCATGGGCCCAATGGGTACTGCAAGGCATGGGCACGCCCGTCACCCAGCAGGCACAGAGGACCCTCAACACCCTGCACTTTGGTGTTGGGATGCAGCCTGGCTCTGGGAAAAAGTGCAGCAGCTCTTCGGGCTGCTCACAAGCAGCAGCATCATCTCAGGGTAATTCCCAAAGCCAGTGCTGAAGTCAGCCTACAGGGGAAGTCTTCTGTTGCTGGTGTGTCACAAATAACACCTTCCTGGCACCCCATCCCTTTATAGACCCATGAACTAAGTTTTTGAGATGAAAAATAACCTAAAACACTATGAAATTGAATGGGGACAGTTTTCTGGCATTTGCAGGGTTAAATCCTGACTGTCAATTTTTCTATCTCTTTCCATCAAGAAGTGACCCATCCAAACCCCAGTTCTCAAAAGAAACATGCCTGGAGCTGTTCTGGCTCTGCTGCTGTGGTTTGGGACTGGCCCAGCCTGCAAAACGTGTCCCTCCAGCCCCTAAGCCTGCCTGTCCCATCCAAAAATGAGCTCTTACCGTTGTCCTCGTTGACAGGCCCATAACTGACTTCATAGGCCGTGATCACCCCGTTGGTTTCTGCAGGCTCAGCCCAGCTCAGCTGGGTCACAGTGGAAGACACGACGTTGAACGCCAAGCGCCCGGGCTCGCTGGGCACTGGGAAAGCAAAGGGTCCCCATCACTGCAAGTCAGGACCCGGTGGAGACCCAGAGCTCCTGAGATCACAGCTGGGCTGCAGTGGGAGACACCCAGTGCTTGACCCTGAGGCCAGCAGAAGCTCAGGGCTGGAGCCCTGACCCCGGTGCTGGGTGCAGAGGTACAAACTCGCTCCCACGTGGAGGGAAGGGAGGTGTGGGGTCACTCACCCTCCTCCAGCGTGCGGCAGTGGATGATGTCCGAGTAAATCCCTTCTCCCATGGCGTTGTAGGCACAGACTTGCATCTCGTAGTCGCAGAAGGGGTAAAGGTTTGTCAGCTCTGCTGATGGGGTTTTGACATCAATGAGACGGGCTTCTGACTCAGGGTCTCCCTGGATCCAGTATTTCACCTGGCAAAGCAAGTGCAAGCCGTGATTCCTTCAGAACCTCACATGATGGGTGAGAATTCTTTGTCTCTTACTAAAGCTCTGGGAACGGTGTTGTGCCATTCCTTTCAAATGGGAGGCCAGGACAGTCTGGGCACTACGTGGTAAGTGATGGAACCGGAGATGAAGTCACCAGGAATTTTTCTTGCATATCCTCATCCACCAGCAATGGTCCCTCAAGGATGGAGGGGACCAGAAGGGGTGAAATTCTCCCTCCTTCTTTTGTGTGTGTACTTGGACCCCTTCGGTACAAGTGTCTGTGTGAAACACCTGCAGGAGGGGACCCACACTCTTCCCTGGGATCCACTCACCCCTTACCTTGTACCCCAGGGGTTTTCCCGGTGGAGGAAACCAGTTGAAGCTGATTTCCCTGGAGCTGAGGGCGCGGGCGTCGGGATTGAGCGGTGCACTCAGGCGGCCTTTGGGGGACTGGGGGACCTGGCCCAGGCCAGTCATTGAGGGGACACCATCCACCAGCTCTGCAGACAAGAAAGTGTCATCAGTGCCAGTCCTCCCCCTTGGATGAAAAAGAAGGAAGTGTGCCTCTCTCAGCACTGCCCTGCTGTGATAAACACATTATTTATGTTATTGACACAGCTGATGACAGTTTCGCTTGTCCAGCCACAGGAACCACCACACACCATTCATGGCAAGTCCTACCTCTCCCTTATTTTTATAGCTTTTCATTCAAGCTCCTAAGGAAAAGGAATTAAGAATCAATTTCCTTTAAAGAAGAGACGATCCAACCTCTCCCCACCCACTGCCTATTCCCACTCGTGCCTCTAGAGGGGGACCCAAATCTACCAGTCGGAGCTGGAGGAACCTGGCTGCGGCTTTTGGGCGAGGATGGCACTCTGGGCACCGCATCGGGGTGGGCTGGGCAGGAGGTCCCGCAGCCACTGACACCACCCAGCTCCCAGCCCCTACCTGGGTCAGCAATGGTCACCGTGGTCTGGGGGTAGCGGCCGATCTTGGCGCCGTACTTGGGGTGGAGGAGGTCGATAGCAAATTGCTTGAGCTGGCAGCTGTTGAGGAGGGTGTCTATCTCTGTCAGCTCCAGCAAGGGCACCTGCACCTCCTTTCGGGTCTCCCCAGGCTGGAAGACCAGTTCACCCTCCGTGAAGATGTAGTCCTGAAGCAGAAGGAAGAGGTGTGTTCAGGGTGAGGCTGGATGGGGCTCTCAGCAGCCTGGTCTTGTGGAAGGTGCTCATGGCAGGGGTTTGGAATCTGTAAGGTCCCTTCCAACCCAAACTGTTCCATGATTCTATGATTACAGCCTGCAGTATCCATGAGGCAACTCCCAAAGAGCTTCCCCTCGTCCCCCAGTCAATCCTCATTTGCCTCCCAGTGCCCACAGCTCTGGGGGCAGCTGGTACCCTCTGCCTCAGGCACAGGCATCCTCTCAGGACCTCCCTCCCCAAGGGAGCAAGGGATGGAGGAGAACGTTTGCCCTTGTGCTGACCTCAAGCCTTGGGTCCCCTCTGTCCCAGCCACATCCTGATAACCCCTCTTCTGCAGCCCCAGGGTTGGTCTTTTCCCAGCCCCACATTCCCACTCCTGTTCCTGCCACAGCCAGGAGCACCACCCTTACCCTGCCACTCTTGGCGGTGAGATCCCGGGTCCTGTAGGTGACTTGGGACTTCCCGTTGTCTATGATCTCCCGGAGCACAGGGATCTTGGCCAGCTTATCAAAGCGGCTGTGGGAATATGCTGGCTGCAGGAAGGTGATGAGGCTGCTGGCTGGAAGGGGCAGGAGAGAAGGAATGTGTAGAGCAAACACACAACAAATGTCATCCCAAACACTCAGGTGTCCTCCCTGAACAGAGTTCCAGTCACCCACAGGTGTGACATGTGTGTGGAGTGTCATTGCATGGGCTGGAGATTTCCCCACTTCCCATTTGTGCTCCCTGTTTCTAACAGCCAGGTGGGAAGCAGAGGGAAAGTGCTGGGGACATCAGCACAATAACATTAAAGAGGTTCTGCTTCACACCAGCACTCGATGAACTGGAGCAGAAGGAATGTGGTCTGCCCGTAATCTGTCATGGAATTGGCAGCATCCAAACTCGTGATGGTCAAATGTTTCTGTCAGCAGGGAAGATGATCCTCTGGATGCATTAAAAGATGCTCCAGTTTAGACCCAGGTGACCTCAGAAAGGAGTCACCAAGCGAGTCTCTGCTCTGTGACCCGGGGGTGCTCAGATATGCAGACTGTGCCTTACAACACGTCAGTCTGGAGACAGGAGACTCAAACACAAACACCTCCACAGTCACAGCCCTTCACCTTGTTCTTTGATGATGGTGATGTTGACAACCCTGCGTCCAATCTTGGCAATGCCACTGGGGACCTCAATGGCCTCCACCTGCAGCTGCTTCTCATCATCATCATCATCCCTGATGAAGAGTGGGACACGGACGTCCACCAGCTCCACAGCCTCTTGGAACTCCACCATTCCCTGAGCATCTGGGGGAAAAGGCAAAGGTGAGAGGTGGGAAATAACCCCCTGCACCCAGCCAGGAGCCAGCGCTGGGCTCTGCTCCCTACCTTGGTCTGAGGTCACAGTGTAATAACCCGGTGCAACCTTCAGGTCATTGAAAGCCTCGTGGGAAACGTGTTTTTCCACCACCTTGATGATGTCTGGCTTGGCTGAGTACGGGGCAGTGAGCACCGTGTCCACAATGGTGTGGTCCTGCCTGGGAGGAGGGGAGGGAAAGGCAGGTGAGAGCTGAGACCAGAGTACCTCGTGTCACACAGCAGCTGGGGGGGCAGTGAGGTGCAGGGCACTCAGTACACGTGTGTGTACAAAGAGGGAGGAGCAGCACCACAGAGCTGCAAATTCCTCTTACCTTTTCCCAGAATTGGGCTGTAACCTGGGGGAATAAAAAAACCCAACAAATCAGAGTGACTAACACCTTTGGAGAGACAAAGTGCTGTGTGAATCACAGCCCTGTGCAGGTCTGAGCTGCAGCACTGCCCTGCAGGTGCCAACCCACCCCACAGAGCCCCAGCACATGTTCCCTCCTGCCCTGGGTTTCCCAATGCAGCAAGGAACGTGCCCACAGGGGAGAACACATCTGGATCAGGCTGTGGGAAGGAGATACCACTCCCTGCTCAGCACTGGCATCCCTAAATTCCTCCTGGCCTCCACCAGGCACTCCTAAGTTTGCATCAGGCTGAAATTCTGAAGCCAGTGGGAATTCTCCCATTGAGCACCATGCGACCAGGATTCGTTCCTGCTGCTCCAAAGCCAGACTCAACTGAGATCTCACCACAGCTGGGTGGGCAAAGCACCACACCAGACTTGTGTCACAGACGAGTGACACGCTCCCTCCCAGCACTGCAGACTTCACACCTCTGGTTCACCCCATCACCAGCAGCCCTGGGGGAACCCTGTCCTGCAGGAGTCTCTCTCCCACTGACTCACCTAAACTTGGTCTGCTGGACCTTGTGGCAGCCAGGAATGTGCTTGAAAACGTCGTTCAGCTGCAAGGAGCAGGAGGGACTTTCAGAGCGTATCCCTCACTGAACAGGGATATGTTCAGGGAACAGATGCTGCTGCCACAAAACACAGGAGCCACCCCAGGCCCTCCCACACCAGGTTTCTTCCCAGGACACGGCAAGAGGCTGCAAACTGAAACCAAGCAGGAGCTTCACATGCCCCAAAGCAAACCCATAATCTCAACAAGATGCTTTGCTAATTCTTACAAACTGTGACCTTAAAGATTGCGCTTTCTCACAAAAGAAGACAAACTGCTCCTTCCTTTCCATAGCTGTGGGTTCCCAGGAAAGGGGCACTGCCCAGTCCCCTGTGTGGCTGTCCCCAAGGCCAGCTGTCCCCAAGGCCACCCTGAGCCCCCCTTGTGCCAGGCTCCTACGTTCTCCTCCACTTCCTTGCGCAGCTGCTCGCACTCGCGGGTGTCTGGTTTCACCAGGTTCTGCGTGAAAAGCCGGGTCAGCCTCAGGGATAGCCCGTAGGGAGCTGGAAAGAGAAATTCCCAACTCAAACTCTGTCCTTCTTGGCCAGAGAAGTAACCCACGCAGAAGCTGGAAGCACGGGGACACTCACTGAGGTCCTTGGGGTTGGTGGCAGCGGGTGAGGTGACTCCCTGCCTGTGGACATTGTTGTGGATCTTCCAGCGGACCGTGTCCCGACCCTTGAGGGAGCCGCTGCGCACCAGGGGTGTGTCCAGGTGGTCGGAGGACATGAGGCTCTGGCGGAGCATGTAGTGGTCCTCCTTGAAGCCAACGGTGCGACCTGCAGAGCCAGGGGTGGGCTCAGAGCCTGGGCACACTGGGACAACGCCGGCCATCAGCTTCCCAGCGCCAGAGATTCTGTTCTGGGGGATATTTAGGGTTTCCACCATGCTGAGAGTGTTGGGATGTCAGGAGGGGAGTGGGATGGAGAGAGCAAGGGGTGTTCATGAGTGGGGAGAACACATCTCACCAGCTAAGCATTACAAGGTCAGGGAGAGGCAGCAGCAGGATTCCCAGCAGGGCATCCCAGAGCGTGGGACAGGGAAGAAGAGTGGACCAGCAGCTCCAGGACTCCTTGGCTCAGGCTCTCTGCTAGGAGCCTTCTCCCAGAACCACCTCTCCAGCTCATCCCAGCACACCCCAAACCCAGGAAGGCCGAGCACCCCAGAGCCCTCCCCCCAAGGACCAAGGGCTGGTACCTCGTGCGCAGCAGGGGAGCAGGGCCAGGCAAGCCTAGAAAACAAATGGCCAGAGACACCATCACTTTGTGGCCAGGGACAAAACCCCTCTAAGTTTCCATCAGGAAGGACCCACACCAGCAGGGGTGCATGGGCTGTGGATGAATGGGGCTCTCAAGCTGATTTTAGCCAGATAGGGGAAATCTGGTTAAAATTTAACCATTGGCTCATGTTTGCAGCAGCAGAGGGTTGGATACCACAGGGACACCCTACCAATCTGGCCAGGCTGAGTGGATTCTGAAAATTTGTCATGTTTTTGGCCATATCTGGTTCTCTCCCTGGGCTGGGGAAGCCAGCTGAGACACTCACCTTGCAGCAGGCACAGAACTTCCAGCAGAGCAGGAGCAGCAGCCCCAGGAGCAGGATGAGGAAGATGAGCAGTGGGATGAGCCAGAGGAAGCTCCCAGGTGGGCACTCTGCAAGTGACAGCAACGTCAGTCCCAGGCACCAGCCCCGTGTGGGGTGAGCAGGGAGGCAGAGGGAGAGGCTGGAGCACAGCTCTCTGAGGGATGGAGCAGCCCAGTTAACCTTGGCAATGCCTCACAATGAGGAAATGCCGTTCACACCTCTGCTCCCACCCAGCTGTACCAAAGGGCTGTGCAGCACCTTACAGCAATCCCTGGCAGCAGGGGAAAGGCTCTGCTCTCTAAAGGTCTCTCAGGGTGCCACACTCCACCCCTTGCAGCTGATGTGACAGTGTCACCCACCCGTGTCACCCAGCAAGGCGGGCAGGGAGGTGCTGCCTGCAGCTGACCCTGCCCAGGGGCACAGCAAAGGGACAAAGCAGGGACTGGAGGCACTGTGGAGTTCATTACTCTGATCCAGATCCCAGCCTGGACATCCCCTTCTCCTGCCAGGTCCCTGCTCACCTTTGTTCTTCTGCACACGGACGGTGGTGTTGGGGAGGACACTGGGGTCTCCCTCCAGGGTGTAGTGATAGGTGCAGTCATCATCCTCATCCTGGAAGGAGCAGTACTCACCAGCCTCCTCTGTGGGGAGAGGGGACACTGTTGTAAACTCTCCAGGGAAGGACTTGGGGAGCACCCTGTGTGCACACACACGGAGCAGAGCACGCAGGAGATGCCACACACGTCTGCACCCAGCTCTTCTCACGTTACCTTTCTTCAGCTCCTCCACCATCTGGATCTGGAGCTGGCAGGAGCTGCAGTTCCCTTTCAGGTTGCCTGTCCCCCAGGTCTGGCAGCGGACACAGTCCCGGATGCTGTCACACACAGCCTGGAAGCCCTGGGCAGAGGTGGGGTGGGATGGTCAGGGACACCCCCGGAGAGAGGGAGGACACAGCCTGAAAGGCAGAGCTGGAGAGGCAGGTCCTCATCCCAGAGTCAGGGCAAGGTCCAGATCAAAAAGAAATCACTGATAACAAGGCTTTATAAGCCCAGTTGTCTCCAAAATCTCTTACACCAACTGTTGGCATTAGGGCAGCAATTAGATCATCTCCAAGGGTTTCAGTGGCCTTTCCAAAACATGATCAAGCCAGCTTTCTCCATCCCCATGGGATTAGCCCATGCTTGTCAATGGGGGAATCAAATGTGTTCAAGGCCAGGTTGGTTGGGGCCCTGAGCAACCCCATCTAGAGGAAGGTGTCCCTGCCCACGGCAGGGGAGCTGGAATGAGAAGTTCTAAGGTCCCTTCCAATCCAAACCAGTCTATGATTCTATGAAATGAGTTTTTTCCTCATCTTGAGGCAAATCAGAACAAACCAGAAGCTGAGCCTCAAACCCCTGCCCATCACCAAGGTGCAGATAAACACAGACAGACTCTCAAGAGTTGCTGCTGGTGGATAGGAGGGCAAAGAAAGCCTGCAGCTACAAAGCAGCTCCCATGCCAGCCCCTCCCTGCCCACAGGACAGGTGAGACAAACCCTTGCTCAGGATTTCATTCCTGGCTGAGATGTGCCTTCATCTCTGCTTTGCCTTTCTTCCTTGGAGGCTCTGCATGGGGATAAGTGATAAAGCCAGAGGGACTCACCAGGGAGTAGCTGATTTCACAGGTGGAGCTGGTGTAGAGCGAAGCCATGTCACAGATGCATCTGCCACATTCACACCTCCCGTGGTTATTGCAAATGCCCTGGGAGGGAAGAGGTGACAGCCTGAGAGCAGCGCTGGGACTCAGCAGGGCACCTCGGCGACCCAGGGATTCCAGCAGTGGGGCAGGTCCCCTCAGCCCTGCTGGAGCAGTGTTCTGGGGGGGTGGGACAGCACCTACCCCTCGGCTGTCGATGCAGGTGTCATTGCTCGTGGGACATTCGCAGCCCGGGCCCTCCCAGCCGCTCTCGCACACACAGGCGCCCCTGGAGCAGCGGCCACGATCTGGGGTGAGAGCGGGGATTACCTGGGCCCCGGTGCTGTGCCATTCCCCCAGCCCTGCCTGTGGCTCCCCCACCTTCCCTGGGGGTGCACAGGGGCTGCAAACAGACTCCACAGCATCCTCCCTGCAGAGTCCCTGCAGCTCATCACTGGTCGCTTCATCCCCCGTGCCAGTGCCACCAGCCCGGGACACCCTGTCTGAGCCACCAGACCCAGCTCATCCCCGAGCTGGGGGGCTCTGGGGGTGCTCTCACCGTTGCAGAGGAAGCCGGAGGTGCGCGGGCACTGCAGGACATCGAACTCGCAGAAGGCGCCGTCGAAGCGCAGGCTCTGGTCCTCGGAGTAGCACTGGCACTTCCCGCACAGGCACTCCCCCCGCCCCGAGCACGGCTCCACCTCCCCGGGACGGATGCAGGCTTCGTTGTTGGGGGATGACGCCGGGGAGCAGTCACACGTGTCCCCTCGCCTGGGGATGGAGATGGTGCTGAGAGAGGCAGGAGCAGAGCGCAGCACTGCAGGGTCCTGGGCAGGATGCCCAGGGTGTGAACGCGTGTCACTGTGGGTCCCCAGACACAGCAGCGTCCCTGGCAGGGGTGTGGGACCTGGCCATGTGGATCTGGCCATGTGGACCTAGACACAGTCCTTACCAGCCTGGGTGGCAGATGCACTGTCCACAGACAAAGTTCCCATGGAAGCTACACTTGGGGGAGTTCAGCTCTTGTTGCTGGAAGTGAAGAGAGAAGAAGAGTTGCTGAGTGAGCCCAGCTGCCCCCAAGACCATTTCAGGAATCAGAAGGGCAGATCCAAGGGCAAAGTTTTGCCCTGAAGACCAGACTCTGCCATAGGACATCACACCCAGCTCGGAACAGGCAGTGATGGAGATCTTGGCCAGGCTGAGGGGTCGAGCAGGACCAACACATTCCCACCCCAGGCTGGCCAGGAGAAGGACTCCTTTTTGCATCACCCCACCTGTTCACAGGGACACACGTCGCAGACGACAGCAGCTGACACCGTGAGGCTGTCGCTCAGGGACGTGGGTTTCACGTGGATGACTCCATGCCGCTCCTTCTCGGGGAGGCTGCAGACGTGCTGCCCACCAATGTACTCCAGAGCCTTCACGTGCATGTGGAACTTGCTCTGAAGGAAGGGACACACTGCAGGGATGAGCCAGCTCCCACATCCCAGCTGGACACGGGGAGCTCATCCCCCCCATACACCTTCCCTCCGCTGCCATCCGAGGACTTACCACTTTTCCACGGGTGATGTGGAAGGAGCCGGATTCTGTCTTTTCAAATACCGAGGAGGTGAACTCTGTCTTCAGGGCTCTGGGGGTGAAGTCAGCCCGGATGTCCATCTTGGAACGGATGCGCTGGGCGGCAGAGGATAAACACAATGTTGGTTTTCAGCGGTACCCGGTGACCGCTCCATGGCCTGCTCCAGAGGGGACACATCCTGCCTTCTGCCTGCTCTCCTGCCCAGGAGGTGCCCACCCTCTGCCCTCCCTGGGAGCCAGGGTGAAGCTCCAGAGAGCACTGTTACCTCAAAGGCTGTGCGGAGCAACTCCACAATGTTGGAGGAGTCTTCCTGGAGCACCCCGATCTCAGAGATGGGGAAATACTTGTGCAGCTTCTGCAGAGAGACAGGAACTCTCTGAGTCAAGGCCTCAGAACCCTCCTCTTTCACAGCAGTGGGCTCTGCTTTGAGCAGGACTTGGACCAGAGACCAAATGTCCCTTCCAACCTAAATTACTCTCCAGCTCTGTGCCTCCTGCTGCTTTACAAGCAGCAGAAACCAACACAGGGAGACCTCTAGGAGCCCGGATTCCTGCACCTAGGAGTACATCCTGAGACCTCCCACAGCCTAGAGCAGCCCCCAACACAGCGTGGCACCCTCCCAAATACCAAGGTGTTGGTTTAGCACTTAAGGACAAGCGATGGGAGAACACTTTCTCCTCACAGCTGAGCTGAGGCACAGGTCCTGGAGGAAAGGCAGCATCACTGCCATGGTCTCCTCACCTCATAGTAGCTGTAGGAGTGGTTGGTGACAGCAAAGATGGGGATGATGTTGTGCTGGCCCAAGAGGCGCACGAGGGTGGGCACTGAGGGATAGTCCTGCTTGGTGTCGTACACGTAGGTGCCGTGGCTGTCCAGGTGACACTGCTCATCGTTCCTCGCCAGGATCCCTGCCAGCACGTTGGTACCGTCAGCTTCGTAGTGAAAGGCAGATTCGGTGGAGAACACGAGCAGGTGAGTGCTGTCCTTTCTCCAGCCGATCTTATCCTGCAGCCAGGGAGGAGGAGAAGGGACCTTTATCTCTGTGCCTCCCAAACCCCTGCACAGCACTTGCAGCCTTTGGCAAGCTGGAATACCCAGGGGACAAAGGCAGCACATGCAACCAGCCCCAGGAATCCCAGCACCCATCCACAGCCGCAAAGCGCGGGGAGCCTCCCACCCAGCAGCTCGGTGCCAGGCACCAGTGTGTACAGGGGGCAAGCCCACGCTTCCCTGGACGTGTCTGGAGCTGTGCTCATCGCTCAGCCAAGCCCAAGTGGGCTCTCTTCCAGGGAGCAGAGTTTCATCATCACAGGCACGGAGGGGGACAGAGCAAAGAGGACATACATCATGGCCAGCAAGCAGCTCCTGCACTGGGCATCAAGCACCAGGGCACATATTCTAAGGCTTCGGGAAAACTGGGAATGAGAAACAGCTTGGCACTGTGAGTGTGTGGTTGGGGGGACAAGAATCAACTGTGGCTGAACTGGGGCTCCCTTGCTGCCCTGTCAACTGCTCTGTGTGTGGCTGTTCTGCTCGTCAGTGGGCATCAGGAAGATCCACTCATTAAAAACACTGCCCTGGCCACCCTCACCTTGCAAACAGCTGTCTGCAGGATGGCATCGAAGCCGCCCTCGGGGGCATCCAGGTTGCCGGAGATGCGCTCCTTGCTGAGCTCCTGGCTGAAGTGGTTGATGTTGCTGGTCAGGCGGATGACGTGCTTGAAGGAGAACGGGGAGTCGGCGTTGTGCCAGGGCTCACGCAGCCTAGGAGAGATGGAACCAGGGGCCTTGTGTGGGGCAGCAGCCAAGAGATGCTAGGGTGCAAGGAGAGGAAATGTGGGGAGAGTCCCTCAAGGGAAGCCATGGAGCTGAGCAGCTCAGCCACCAGCACTGAGAGGGAGAAGGGATGAGGGCAGAGACTGAGGGGAAGACAAGATGTGCAGTCAGTTGTGGCAGAGCAGGGAAGGTCTGAAAGCAGAGGATGACACTGCTGGCACTGTCACAGCGCTACAGCAAGCCCTGAGGGATGGGGAGACCAGGGAAGACACTGGCAGTGAAGGTAGAGATGGATGGAGGCTCTTGCACTGCTGACACTGAAAGCCATGAAGAAACAGGAGGCACTTTCTGCTCCCTCTACTCCCACCTCAGGGACCCCTGGAGCTCACTCACTTTTCAGGTCTCATGTCTGTCTGAGGGGACGAGACTTTGTCCACAAACTTGCCGAATCCAATGGTGTAATTGGAAGTCAGGGCTTTCAGGAAATCCGCTGGGAGGGGAGGAAAGGGGAGACACAAAGAGATGCCTGTGAGCTCCCTGCTCCAGGGAAAGAAGTCCTTTTGTGGGCATCTTCTCTGCTGGTCAGTTCTTAGACAAGATTCCCAAACTGTCATATTTTAAGATCTTTGGGTTTTTATAGGGCAGAAACCTACACCCCCTTTGGCAGCCCCAAAGCTGGAGCTTCTGCAATAGCACCCAGCAGGTTGAAGATGCCAAAGGCCCTGCACAGACCAGCTCTGAGGGGCACCAGCTGGGCTGGAAGGGGATGTGAGGATCCCTGCAGGTCCAGAGAGAAATCCCCACACAGGGCTGTGATAATGAGAAGCTCTAATTAAAACAGACATCTCTCAGCCCATTGCCATCCCCCTCTCTGGTGCTGGCAGAGGTCTCACAGCCACAGGCAGGAGTGAGCTGCCTGCCTTCACCAGCACAGGAACAGGCTCCCCTCTTCTCCCAGCTCTGCCCTCACCTAGGTTATGCCCCATGCTTTTGAGGTTGTCCAGATCATCAGACATGGAGTAGGAGAAGTCCATGAGGATGTAGAGATCCACAGGGCTCTCCTTGGGCTGGAAGACATCCATGTCGAAGCTCATCTCCTCCCCAGCCCGCAGCCGCATGTACATGGCCTGGGGGGACACCTGGGTCCTCTGCAGGGACGTGTTGATACTGGAATTCTGTGAAGGAGAGGGACGTGAAGGGGATGGACTCCATCCCAGGAGGACGCAAGGGACAGGGAGATGTGCGGGAAGCGCAAAGGCAGGGATGAGCACCCTCCCCTCCCTCGTGTACTGTCCAACAGGCTCCCACACACCCACTCCTGTCCAGCCAGGATGCTCTCATCTCCAGAGGGATGAGAGAATTTTGCTTACATCTGCTTTGTCTGCAAGGTCACCCCAGCCTGGATCAGGAGCAGTGGCCCACAGGTCCCCCAGCTAGTGAAGGCATTGCTTTTGAGTAGACCCTACCTAAATAGCCATCTGGGCTTTGTACTTTTCCTGCTGAGGAGCCTAGAGAAGGATGAAGGATATGAAGGACCCCTCAGGAGAGGCTGGGCAGGGGCTGTGTCCCCAGCACGCACCTTCAGTGTCCTCATCTCCCCCTGGCTGTACACGATGCTGGCCTCGCCGCAGCCGGAGCGCAGCAGGTTCTCCCGCAGGTCACAGCGCGGCTCCTCAAAGCTCTGCCGGGGGGCAAGAACAGCATCAGAGCTGCAGAAAGCACCAGATCCACTGAGAAAGGGGGAAATAAACAGGGCAGGAAGCAGGGTCCTGTGCCCAGAGCATTATGAGCCTTTGGGAGCAGGAGTGGGGCAGAGAGATGGGGATGAGTCTCGCACAGAACCAAACCATCAGCTGAAATGTGACCATCAGTGAGTTACTGGGCTGTGTGGGATAAAACTCTCCCTCCATCCCTTGCACACACTTTTTCTGGTGCACTGACATTTTCTGATAAACCTCTTAATTGCTGCAATTCTGCCCTGGATTCCCATCCCTCCCCACTTTTTGCACCAGAAGGAAATCCACATTGCAGCCTTTCCCATCCAGAAGAGAAGCTGGATCCAGAAGCTGTCCCTGCTCCTGTGTCCCTCTCCCACGGAGGGTGGTGGGTCCCTCCATCAGCAGGGTGGGAAGTGGAGCCCCAGGCTGCCCTGCAAGGTCTCACCTCGTCGGTGCAGAAGGAGCAGTCCTTATCCACACGGATGCACTCGGTGCAGCTCTTTGCCCGGGACAGCACACAGCGGTTGTCTGCCAGGAAAGATCAGGGCATCAGGGATGGGGAAAACACACTGAGCTGTGGAGGGTGTGAGGAAGGCTGATCCCATGGAGAGATGGAGGCTTTGTCTGGTTAGTGGAAAGTGACTGCAAAACAGCAGCAGGGTAGCAAGGGAGGGTCCCCAAAAGCTGGGGAGATGGAAAACAGCAGGAAAAGCACACAGCAGGTGTTCTCCAAGTGGTGTTTCTGGAGCCCAGGACAGGTACACACAGTCCCCAAGGGGAGGAGGCAGACAGAGCTACCACAGCTCCACTCACTTTTGCTCCATTGGCAGAGGCTGGTGGCACACAGCAGGGACAGGAGCAGCACCCTGGCACATGCCCATGGCACCACATTCATCCTCTTCCTCCTGAAATGAAGGGATTGCTACATTGCAGAGAGCCAAGAGATGGAAATGGAGCTGGACATGACCAGAGCACCTCCCACAGAGCCCCTTCCCACCCCCACCAGGGTGGGACACCCCCACACCCCAGGGAAGCCGAGGCTGGAAGCAATTGCTGAGCTCTGCATGGCAGGGCACAAAACAAAGCCAAGGATAGTTTGTACTCTGCTCAGGCATCTGCAAAAGGCTCCAAATCCCTGGCAATGACACCCCTGTAACCTGGAGTTGGGGTGCCCAGCTCGACATCAGGGGTTGGTGCAGGCAGCTGGAGCACAGGAGGCTCCCAGACAAACCCAGCACCATCCTCCCATGTGAGCACTGACACTGCTTTTCCTGGTAGCTTAGGAAAAAAAAGGAGGAAAACAAAGTGAATTGTCCACATGTCTCCCCAAAAGCAACATTGACCCCTCCCTTCAGCTATTTCCTATCACACTAAGAGTTTCCAGGATGGTCAAGCCAACAATAAAGAGAGGGTGAGGCCTTGGGAAATGCCAGGCTTGGGATTTTGGAGTTCTTGAATGAATTTGTGGTTTTGAGAGCCTGGCAGCTCCCCTTTGCCCTGTCCAGGGCAGCAGGACCCCTTGATGAACACAGAGGTCAAATCCTAAACAGAGGGAACCATTCTCCCCTCACCACACGTGACTGAGGAAACTCAGTGCCATCCAGAAGTCGGCATTTGGATGTGGTAAATAAAAGGCACAAAGCTGGAACTCGAGTTGTGCAGCTGCTGTGCCAGAGGTTCAGCCTTGCACACAGCAAGGGGAGCAAGTGAGAGCAGCCAAGGAAAAAACAACAGTGTAGAGTTATCATTAAATCATCTCCTTCCTGGTAGATGCAATTGTGAAACACAAAATGTGAATGAATTCTTATAGCTTTTTGCTGTTTCAGCCCTGACTCTAAAATGAAAAGAATGTGAAAGCCATTTAAATAGGGAAAGGAAGCAAGAAAAGTTGTTTTTGCAGTAACAAACAGTTCCTGGGGGACATCCAGCACACAGAACAGTCACCTGGAGACTCAGCTGCTCACAGCCTGGGCTGCAGGGAAACCCCTGGAAAGACCCAACCTGACTCAACAGCAACAGATCCCACTTGGCCTCTGCAGCCAGTGGAATACATTGAATGCAGCAATTGTTGTGACACAGGGCTCAACCAACCCAGCATCAACACCACAGGACATCTCCCTTGGTGGCTGCACTTGGCTCCAAGTGAGAGTCACTGGGTACACAGGCAGCAACTGACAGGACTTTGGTATCTCATTCATCCTGCCAGCTGTGCCCAGAGGGATTTAGCACAGTCATTAATGCCCAGTGGCTCAAATGTGAGAAGCACGGGAGCCTCAGGGCAGCATCTCTGCTGAAACCCAGGAAGCTTTGCTGTTCCTCAGCCTGTAGCCAACGTGCAGTTTTACCAATGGGCAGCTGTTCTTACTGGTGAAAGGTACCAGCTGAGCAAGGGACTCCTCAGCTTCCCTCCTGCCACACTGACTGTCCCCAGGCAGGCCCTTTGCAGGTTTGGCTTTGGGTGGTTCCTGTCCCCCCAAGTCCAGTTGCAGCGCTGGCTCTGAGGCCACCATTCCTCACCTGGCACATGCCCATGACCTCCTTCAGTCCTCACACCAAATGCTGTGTCCCTTGCAACTGACACAGGTAGATTTTGAAGCCAGGAAAATCCCTTTTTCCTTGCTCTGCCCCAGCCCAGGACAGTGCTCTGGAGACGTGGGGAGATGCCAGTTACAGGTGGGATGCAAGGGTAGGGAAGAAATCCTCAGAGCCCATGGAAGGAAAACAAAAACATCACCTGAGCACTCAGCAAATCCCATCTCCCACCATGACATGGGCCACAAGGAAAGGATTGAGTATGGGACCAGACTGCTCAGCTCACAAGGACCTAATGCCTCTTCCTTTAATCACCAGTTAGGAAAAAGTCACCAAGGAACGGATGGACACACCCTGGGCCTCTGGCACATAAATTGCTATCATGTCTTTTCAAGTGCTGAGATAGAAGGCCATAAAATCCTGCTTAATATTAACAACCTGTTGCCCTGTGAGCCACCAACCTTCAAGGATTTTGCTGGGCAGATGCCAGCAGGCCAGGCACTGGTGGCACAGAGCACGGCCACTGCAGGAATGCAGCCTGCAATATTTGTGCAAAAATATGGGAGTGGCCACCCCTTACTTTCAGAAGTGTCCTCTGGAAGGGAAAACACCGCTTTCACTTCAGGAAAGCTGCAGGATTTGGTTTGGTTGGGTTTTCCTGACGACAACAACAAAAATAGTGTTCAGTTGTGCAAAAACAAGGAGAAAGGCAGAGTAGCTCCTGGCTGCACATAAACTTCCTACCACTTCCCAGACCTGCTCCAGCATTTCCTCCTGGTCTCCTCTTGCTCCCCCAGCCTTTACCCTGCCCCTCAGCACAGCCAACAAACCTGCTCCAGGAATTTGCCAGGAACCCCTGAGTCTGGAGAAGCTGGGACTGGCTACCTCATCCCCAAAAATCCAGGCTATGCTCCAAACAACCCGCAGCAATGAGACAGAGGACAGGGTTGGAATGGCAGATGGGGGAGAGGGAGCAAGGAGCAGGTTGTGATGAGCCACAAAGCAGCAGCAGGAGCTTGGTCCCAGCTGCCACATGTGGGACACCCGGCAGGTTGGGACACAGGAGTGGCAAAGTGAGGGAGATGCTCAAGCAGTGAGCTCCCAAGCACAGCCTCTCCTCTCTTGGGTGGGAGCTGCTCTTTTCATGGCTGCAGCCACGGGGGCTGTGCAGGGCACTGACCCTGGAACAGGCATCAAGGACCAGCCACGTGTCCCTGTGTGCTGAGGACAGCCCACGGCCCAGGGGATCAGGGACACTCAGCTCATGCTCTCACCCCTGCACATGTGGTGCCACAGAGCTGCTGGGACCATACTCCAAAACCTGGAAATTGTCAAGCCAGACTCCCAAAAACTCGACCCACGTATCAAATCATTACTTACACACAAAATCGTACCGATATTGTTTTGTTTGCCTTCCCCCTCCATTTCCCCTCCTTCCCCAGGTGTGCTCCTGGGAGGCTCCATGTGAGGATCTCCATTTGTTGTTTACAGCTGCCAGGCTGAGCTCCAGACCCCAGACAGCCCCCAGCACCCTCCAGCTGGGGACAGAACAGAGCAGGACCCAGCTCGGGCACCCACATGGAGCTGCTGGGAGCTGCTTTGTGGCGAGCACCCCCCGTGCTGTGAGGGGCTGGTGGCTGTGGGACCATCGCCCCCGGGCTCGGGCAGGGGGGAACCCCAAGGAGCAGAGGCAGGAAGGGCACGACCCTGCCTGGGGACTGCTCAAATGCCAGCACAGCCCCAGAACCCTCCCGTTCCCTCCATGTGCTCTCCCTGCCGCTTTCACCGCTCCTTTGGCCCCACAAGACACTTTCCCCCTCCTTCTGCGTGTGCGCTCCTCATCCCCGTTTTCCCCCACCTAACCCATGCCCCTCACACCAATCCTATCCCGTTTGCTGCTCCCTGTCCGTTTCGGATCCACCAATTTGCAAATACCCCAACACCTGCAGTTCAGCAAAGCCCACCCTGAACCCCCCACTCTCTCCTGGCCTTTTCCCCTTCCCTTGCTCCGCCCTTGCAGGGGCAGCCACCAGTTGTGGAAAGCAGCCCCGGTGGGCTCCGGGGGCACCCACAGCCCTGCTGACCTCGCACATTTTCACCCGTGAAAGCTTTCCCTGGGTGCCAGCTCGGAGGCACAGCAGCCTTTCCCCTGGAGCTGGGCTGAGGGACAGGACAAGCCCTGAAACCCCCAGCAGCTGTCCCCAAAGGGCTCTGCTGTCCCACCCTGACCCCCACCCAAATACCTGAGACACAAACCCGGAGCCGTGCAGCCCCCAAAGCCCTGCCCGGCCACCAGCGCTGCCTTTCCCAGCCGGAGGCACCGGGCGGGTTCCGACAGCCAAAAAACGGGAAAAGCAGAGGGAGCAGACGGGCAGGGGCTGAGCCCCTTGTCCTGCCCACCTGTCCCGCATTAATTCACTGCCCGCTTCATCAAAGCGGCAAAGTTCAAGCGAGCCGGACGCTGCAGAGCACAGATGAATCAATTCCACAAACCTCATTAGCGCTGGGTCTGACTGCGAGTCCAAATCCTCTGCCGCAGCCCCAATAACAGGCACCCACACACCAAGCCAAGAAATTCTTCCGAAGGCAGAGGGGGAACGCGCCGCTTCGCTGCTGCAACTTGATTTCCAGCTTTGGGCTTTTCTTTCCTTTTTATTTATTCTTTTTTTTTTTTCCTCCCTCCTCTCTATTTTGAGTCCTTTTTTCTCTTTCCGGTTAAACGTCAAGTCCCGGTCCGGGGGGGAGCGCAGCCAGCCCGCGATCCCACATAACTCCCCGTGCCCTCCAGTCAAATATTCCACTTTGTTCTCACTGCCCGCGCTGCCGCCTCGCCCTCCCAAGGGGCTGCCTGGCAGGAAAGGTGGGAGCTGCGATAAATGAGCTTGGATCCCAGGTGAGGAGAAGTTTTATCCCAGCCGGGAGGGAGGAGGGGGTGCCCGTGACGCAGGGCTGGCATTCACTGCTCCCTCACACACCTGGCCGGGCAGGCACAGCCCTCTGGAGCCTCCCTCCGAGCAAGCACCATCCCACAGGAAAAGGGCTGAGGGAAGGCGCTGTCCTGGGCAGGGAGCCTGGAGGGGCTGCTCGGCTTCACCTGCCTGCTCAGGGCACAGCTCAGGGAGCTCCCCGACCTCCCCCGGCAGGGGTTTCTCCTCCCAGTTTCCCCCTAGCACGACTGGGAGGTGTCACCCTCAGAGCTCAGGTAATTCCTGGCTGAAATATCAGGGAAATCCTTGCCCCGACAACCTGCAGATGCCGAGCGAAGCCTCGGCGCTTTGCAGGCAGAGAGGATGGGTCTGCATCCTGCTTTATGCAGGGCATGGGCACGGCAGGCCACTCCTCACCTGCAGTAAATCCGTCCCGAGAGTCAATGCAAGCCCTTGTGGCACCATGAATGAGAACCATCCATACCTGCATCCCAGCATGGTGCCAGGCTGCCACAGGCAGCAATCCCACGGCTGATTCCAGTCCTTCTGCTGAGCTCGAGCCAAATCCCCAGTCCAAGGAACAGCAGAGGAGAGTTTGGAGTTCAGGTGAGGTTGTTTTCCTGTCCACAACACCCTTTTGCTTTAGTCTGGGGTTGGTCACAGCTCAGAACCACTCACACTTTCCACAGAGTGGAGCACACACGTCTTGGAGCAGATGCAGTGGCAAAGGCTGCATTTCAGCTCCCTGATAGATCCCCTGAGCTTCAACACAAACAATAGCAACAGCCAGATGAAAAAATGGCACATTTCCTGCCTGACTTGGAGATTAAAATTACGAGCAGGGAAATTCTGCCCTCCTTGCTATCAGTGGGGCATTACAGAGGCTGCTGCTCGGCAGAACTGATTGAAAGGTGAGGAGCAGGACTCCTTTCACTACAAGAATTTAGGAAGCTCAAGTTAATATATGTAAACTGCCTTAGCCCCAGGATAAAGGAGGATGAGCTTGTGCCATTAAAAACTGCAGCAAATGGGAAACAGGCAGGGGTGCAGGGGAAGATGGCCCAGGCAGTTTCAGTCTGGCATTTCCGAGTTTCCCAACACATGACTTGGCCACCCCAGCCCTTTTGGAGATGTGATTTCCTAGGTTTAAACAAAAGTTTTGAAAATGAAGGAGGTTTGCTGTTGTTTTTTTAAAAACACATCAAGACAGCGACTGCAAAATGAGAGCTGGGACATGAGACAAAATAAAGGCAGTGCAGGACCAGGCTGTGAGTGCCAGGTGCTGATGCTTGAGCTGCTGGTGACGAGCAGATGGTTCCCATGGAGGGGCTGAAGGCTCCTGCTGTGCCTCAGAAGCCACAGCTGCAGATGTTGAACACTGCAGGTGAAATTAAAACTGGGCTTCAGTTCCCAAAATGGGAGAGGAGCTTGTGCTGGTGCTCAGACGTGTCTGGTCACCTCACCAGCCCCATCCCACCTCCCACTGGTGCAATTTTCCTCTTTGAGGTAAGCAATGCTGCCACTGCAGTTGAAAAAGCCAATTTAGGCTGCAAGCAAGAAGCAGAGTAGTAAAAAACCAGTTATTTTAGTGATGGATCCCTAAGAGGAATCCTGAAGCCAACCAGAAAAGCTCAGGAGCACCCACCTTCTACCACAACAGTGTCCTGATTTTCTGGATGTCCTCCTTTCTCCACCTGAGATGGAGAATGTTTATGTTGCCTCCTGTAAAGGATCTCTGTTGTCACCTGCAGACCCTGCCAGCCCCAGGGCTTCCTGACACCCTCTGCTCCCATCCATCCCCACAGCCTGGAGCAGCAAGGAGGGACCAGCTCCCTTCAGTCTTTCCAGCTGGGAGGAGAAGCCCAGTTGCAGCCTCTGGGTGCTGCCAGAAGAGCTCAAGATACCAATTATGCACCTTTCTTTAAAACACATCCCCCCAGTACCTGAGAGATCCCACACCCATGGAATGTGAATTTTCCCAGAGCTGTAACTGGGCTGCTTTTACATTTGCAGGGCTGATAAAGGCACTTTTCCAATAAAAAGGCAACTTCACCACCAAATTTTTAGGGCAAAAGAGCAGAGAGGAATAAGAATTTTTCTGTAAATACTCATGAAAATATAAAAGGTTATAGCTTCATCTTATATTTTTTTTAAAAAAACTTGTTTTATGAGTTGTCTTTCAGATAACTTCTCCAAATTACTTCCACAAGGGAGAAACACCTGGTCAACTCAAGTTCTTGCCTTGGTTCCACACCTTGCTCTCCCTGCCTGCTGGATAAGGCTTTTGCTGCACAAATTTGTTGTTTTTAAGAACAGAGGACAGGGATTTCAGAGGCAGGGTCAGCAGATTTCAGTGCAGATGGCTCCACCACAGCTCACAGTCACATTTGTGGCAAATCTTGCATTTATAAATCATTTTCTGCTGTGGCAACGTGGCCTAGAAATTTTTGCCCTAGGAGGGAAAACAAGCAATTTTATAGCTCACATGAAATTATTGCTCTCTCTGCTGAGACTACCAGTCTGAGTGCCAATTACTGATAATTACAAGTGATTTCAGGGTTAATTATTTTCTTCTTTTTTTAATGCCACGCCAGCTTGCAACAGAGCCTTTCTTCTTTCTGTCCTGCCACCACAGCGTGCCTGGAGACAGCTTTGGGGCTTTTTCTAGGTCTTTATTGAGCAGTTACAGCCAAAGTCCTGCTGCTGGAGCACATTCATCCCCTTCTGAAATTCTGTAACAACACACATTACTAAAAGAAAAATAAACAATCCCAACACTGCACTCTGTAGTGACAATATCCTGCTATGTGGCTTAAATAAAAGGGATGTGTAATAATGTATTATTAACATTCATTAACATGCACATAATTTATCACACTAAATGATGCTTAATATAATTCCCTGTTCAATTAAAAGTGCCAGATGAAATCCTGTCATATTCTCTCCCTCAGCCTTTTCCCCCAGGCAGCATTAACTACACGTGCCCCCTGTCTTCCAGGGGATGTTCCTTGGCATGAACATGTTCCTAAAGGAAAATCTCACCGATGAACATTTGCCTCTGGGACAGACCAGCAGCAAGAGGGAAGCAGGATACAGAAACAACACCAGAGGAAAACATCAGCAAAGGATCCAGGATACAACTTCAGCCTGGGACAATCCTATCACCCATCTGGGGACACCAGGGATACATCAGCACCTCACCCAACTGCCAGGAGCTGAGCACACACCGATGTCTTCTCTGCAAAAAGGCAAAACCTTTCCTTGTAAAATCCCAGAGCTCTGCTGTTTACTGGCAACACAGAGCACGAGCCCGGCCCCAGCCAAAGACAAGCTTCAAATAAACAAAAGCCAACTACTGGAAGTCATTGGTGTCCATAGCTCTCGCTTAGAACAAAAGGAAGGAAGTGGAATATAAACAGTCAGAAGAACAGCAGCAGGGAAGGCTCAGAGGTGGAAAAGTGCTCTGTAAAAGCCATGCAGGAATATGCTGAGGTAAACGTCCCCTCCAAAAGGAAGAGGAACTTTGGTGGAACTTTGTTGCCTTTTCAGGGGACCTTGAGCCTCCACAGCAATTTATTTATTGGAACATTGAACACTAGACAGTCTTGGGGAGCCCTGCTGAGAAGATCTGAATTTCTCACTCCCTCTTTGGAGATATTCCAGAACTGTCTGGATACAACCCTGCGCCAAGTGCTCCAGGAAAAACTCTGCTTGAGTTTGGGTCGCTGCCGTCCCTTCCAGCCTCACCCATCCTGTGATTCCCTGCAGGTACCAGCTCTGGGCTTTCCTGGGCTCACACCATTCCCCAGGAAGGAGCAGCTCATACCCTTTGATGACTCACTGGGCACATTACAAAGCCCACCTGTTTGAGGGGCTTCACAGGAGGTAACTTCTCCCCTGCAATGGAGAAGAGCTGGAAAGGAGCTTGTGCAGGTGTTGGCTGCAGCCATCACCTCCCTCACTGCTGGAGCTGCCGTCAGCAAAGCCTTGGCACGGCCCAAAGCCCTGGCAAAGAAGACTCTTTCTTTCATTTTTTGTTCATCTCAGTGCATAACTCCCCTAAACCAGACAGTGCAGCAGCAATCCAACTAAAACATAGCTTCAGGTGCTCCCATTCCACGGTTTGAGGTGGGGCTGGCAAGGGCTGCCCTCCCCACCTGCTCCCTCGGCCCAGCAGCACCCAGTGAGACAGAAAATAAAAGCAAGTCCTGAACACACAAAATCCCTTCCCACACCAGCATCAAAGGAGGACAGATCTCTAAAGCACAACAAGCAAATAGGAGAGAAAAATCAACACCTCGGGGCATGGAGGTGGAAGAAAAGACTTCAGAAGGGAGAGGGAGAGTAGAACCAAGTGTGCCAAGGATGACTTCATTACTGCAGCTCTCCTGCCTCTGCTGAGGCAGACACACAGACTTGAATGTGGAGTTTCAGCTGAGACAAAGCTCCTTGAGTTATGAGACACCTCTGCTTAGGAAGGAGACAGGCAGAGAGAAGTCCTGCGGTGTTCAAGGAACAGAGATTGTACTTCTTGGACTAAGGAATGATGAAAATAGGACTGGTTTTACTCTCCTGGGCATCACTTTGGAAGGAGAGGTAAGAGCAAGTATCTACAGCTTTTAGTCACAAGCACAGCCTGAGCAGTCACTGTTGCAGCAGCATAAGGAACATTTTCTGTGTCAGCTCTGAGTTTGCAGCTGGGGCA